AAAGGGCTTAGGGGGGAAAGGGGTGAAGGATCTCAACAGGGAACAGATCTTAGGGAGGAAAAGGGAGAAGATCTAGAAAGGCCTTAGGGGGAAAGGGGGAAAGGATCTCAACAGGGAAAGGAGGCAAAGGATCTTCGGGAGGAAAAGGGAGAAGATCTCAGTGGGGGAAATGGCCTTAGGGGGGAAAGGGGGGAAAAAGGGAGAAGATCTGAAAAGGCCTTGAAAGGATCAGGGGGGAACGGGGGAAAGGATCTTAGGGAGGAAAAGGGAGAAGAGGGGAAGGGGGCAAGGGGACCAATCCCAAGGGACGCAAATAAGAAAGCAGGCTTGTAATGTCGGCGGCCTGAGCCGGAGGCGTTAAAATTGTGGGGACCCCCAAGACCTTCGGTTTCCTTTTGGTTTCCACTAAAAAAGAAAGGGGCGGTTCACCATTCGGATTAAAATGGGGGGGACAAATGCGTCCTTTGGCTTTCCTTTAAAACGACCCTTCAAAAAATAACAACTTCCAAAACTACCTGCTTGACAAGGCACTCCTGTAAATTTGGCTGGTGGAGGTGATTTCGCAATTGTTCTAAATGCATCCTGCAAAAAAAATGTCTGACGCAGCCGCTTTCGAAGGTCCTCATGATGTTGATTTCAGATCAATCAACCTGGCAGATTCTATAAAGGGTACGCAACCTTTTTCTGAATCCAGGGTTGGCATTGTGGGCAATCCCGAAAAGGGACCATGCGTTTCAGGGACCAAATCCTGCATTTGGGACAAGTATTACCATACGGACGGACATGCACCTGCATATATGCGTCAAAAAGCCCTTCTGTGGGAATCAACTAACCAGAGACCGAGGCGACCGTCCCTGCCTCGCAGCGCCTGCCTGCCCGAAAATGCAACGGTAACGGTTCGGTTACCCACTTCCTCTTGTCCCCGTTTGGGGTTGACCTTGGGTGGACCCCAAGTGGCTAGCAAACATGAGTTGGCCGGCCGAACATCCACGTATAGAATGGGCAAAGGTGTGAGGCTGGGCCAATCCGAATTCCCATCCGCGGGAAAACACAAAGGAGAAGAACCAATTTCCCATCGGAATCCGAGTTAAAAGGATTCACATCTTGCGAATTGCCTTTGAACAGCCCAGTCTGCTGTCACTTCGTCGCAGCATCGATCCTTTAGCCCACCCCCGGAGCGTTTTACCGAATAAGCCGCAAATACGGACTCATGAGAGTCAAATTTCGCGAGCAAAGACATGGTGCCCTTACTGAAGTCTGCAGGACCCATCTTGCAGGACCCTCCAAAAGCCGTCGCCTTTGGCAGATATTCCATTTCCAATCAAGAGGGAAATCAAGCAGGACCAATCCGGTTCCGCCGCTGGAAAACCAGTGGCCACTCAAAACATGGTGTGTTTGGCACTTGTTCTAAACCGCGGCACAGTTGACAAGGTCCACAAAGGAACCAGTTTTCGACCACGGGCTGAAAGACTCACTTGCTGCACCCCAGGCCGACTGGGGCTGTCGAGACCTGGCGTTTCGTTGGGCCAACCAAAGCGCTGTTGAACCTTGCGGCTCCCAACCTATGCCTGGGGCATACTGTATGTGGAATGTCAGGTGCTTGCGAAGACTTGAGGGGAAAAAACCTGGAACCAACTTGCTGGGTTGCAAGTGAGGAGGCTATGTTTTTGCGGGTGTATTTGGGGCACCGAATAACTTTCAAATTGATCCAAACTGTGAAAGAAAGCACATTTCATGCAAGCTGGATATGCGAGTACCTCATGTTTGAGTCAGTTTGAGGCTTCGGGGGTCCAAGGAGGTCTCTGCCTTCAAAAGATGCGTGATGTTCAAACCAAGTCACACCTTTGTTTTCTCGGCCCAAAGGACCGAGAAACAAGCTCTGAGATCACTCTGGGCCTTGATTCACCCTTTTTGCCACCCAACAACACAGGGTTCTCGGGCTCCGGGCGGTTTTTGGCTCCGAGCCGGGGCAAACAAAAAAATCCGCCCCATGGAGAGAAACCCAAGAGCTGATTGCTGGGAACGGACCACATTGAAACCCAAAGGTCGATTCGCCTCGGGTGCGCGCCACAGCCAAGGACCGTCGGCCTCAGGCCGATGAGAACCAGGCCGATTCGAGTCAGGCCGATTCGGGATGGATGCGTTGTTTGGGTTGGCTGCCACTTGGGGGGTATCCGCCGACATTGCTCGGCGTGTCGGATACTTACTAGAGGATAGAGGATCCGACGTCTATTACGTAGGTTTTTGGGGGGGGGGGGGGGTCCCCCACGTACCGCGCGGCAATTTGATGACGTTCCACTAAACGTAGTCTTCGGGGAGCCGGTGTCGCAAAACAGGGGTCCCAGGCTCGATTCCCCCTGCCGGCTTTTTTGCTGGCTTGGGCTTCCTGCATCCTTTTGCCGAAAATCTGGAAAAACTCAATGTTTTTGGACGTCCTCTTTGCGAAAACGCTGGAAAAACCGTGTTTTTTTTGCGGGAAATACATACATACATGCATGAATGCATGCATGCATACATACATACATACATGTCATACATACATTACACACACACATACATACATACATACATACATGCATGCATACATACATACATACATACATGCATACATGCATTACATACATACCTACCTACCTACCGACATACATACATACATACATACATACATACATACATACATACATACATACATACATACATACATACATACATACATACATACATACATACATACATACATACATACATACATACATACATACATACATACATACATACATACATACATACATACATACATACATACATACATACATACATACATACATACATACATACATACATACATACATACATACATACATACATTACATACATACATACATACATACATACATACATACATACATACATACATACATACATACATACATACATACATACATACATACATACATACATACATTACATACATTACATACATTACATACATACATACATTACATTACATTACATACACATTACATTACATTACATTACATTACATTACATTACATTACATTACATTACATTACATTACATTACATTACATTACATTACATTACATTACATTACATTACATTACATTACATTACATTACATTACATACATACGTACATACATACATGCGTACATACATTACATTACATTACATTACATTACATTACATTACATTACATTACATTACATTACATTACATTACATTACATTACATACATACATACATTACATTACATACATACATACATACATACATACATACATACATACATACATACATACATACATACATACATACATACATACATACATACATACATACATACATACATACATACATACATACATACATACATACATACATACATACATACATACATACATACATACATACATACATACAAACATACATACATACATACATACATACATACATACATACATACATACATACATACATACATACATACATACATACATACATTACATACATACATACATACATACATACATACATACATACATACATACATACATACATACATACATACATACATACATACATACATACATTACATTACACATTACACATTACATTACATTACATTACCATTACATTACATTACATTACATCATACATACATACATACATACATTATATACATACATACATTACATCATTACATACATACATACATACATACATACATACATACATTACACACATACATACATACATACATACATACATACATACATACATACATACATACATTACATACATACATACATACATACATACATACATACATACATACATACATACATACATACATACATACATACATACATACATACATACATACATACATACATACATACATACATACATACATACATACATACATACATACATACCATTACATACATACATACATACATACATACATACATACATTACATTACATACATTACATTACATTACATTACATTACATTACATTACATTACATTACATTACATTACATACATACATACATACATACATTACATTACATACATACATACATACATTACATTACATTACATTACATTACATTACATTACATTACATTACATTACATACATACATTACATACATACATACATACATACATTACATACATACATACATTACATACATACATACATTACATTACATTCATACATACATACATACATAAATACATTACGTACATACATACTTACTTAGGTACTTACTTACTTACTTACTTGCTTACATTACATACATACATACATACATACATACATACATACATACATACATACATACATACATACATACATACATACATACATGCATACATACATACTTATGTACATGCATGCATACATACGAGAGAGGGAGATTGGGAAGAGAGAGGCTTGGGGGGATGGGGAGGATGGGAGCAGAGGGAGGGAGAGCACACAAGGGAGACAAGGAAGAGAGGAAGAAGGAGAAAAGGGAGAGGACAATGTCGGCGGACTGAGCCGGAGGCTCTAAAGTTTCTAGGGCTCGCCCAGATTTCTCCGGCTCCCCTCCAAGGCAAGCCTGCCCTTCGTTGGTTTTTGGCTTGCGTCTAACGCAAACCAAAAGGGACAAAGAAGAGGTGGCGCAAGTTTGAGAAAGCCTCCCATTGACCTCATCTCAGACGTTCAAAGCAAGCTGCACGGCGAGACGTCGGCCCAGATTTAGCAAAGCCTGACGGAGTACTCACAGGGATGGAGCTCCCCAAGCATGATTCGGATCCTGCAACATGGGACAGCACAAAATTCAACCAAGGTTTGATATAATCCAGGGATAACGCAAAGTTGCTCACATAGAGGGGGTCAATCCAAAAGAGTCTGCGAACGCTCCAAACGGCGAGCGCCAAACAAGGGCCTCGTCAAGTCCCCAGGGGACCACCGGCCTGGGCTCCCGGCGTGCCAGAGCCGGAGCTGCCACTGCCGGCTGCTCTCGGGATCGCCCTAAGTGAACTTGAGTGGCCATGGAAAGAAACTCGTTGGGCACTCTTTTGTTTGGGAACCAAACAAAAGGACAAAGGGGTGTGGTGCCAAAAAACATGGCTTTTGTTGCTGGCACTCGCTTTTTGTCTTTGAAGAGAAACCCCTCAAAGAAAGGGAGGAGGCAACCCAAATTCAGGCTGGGAATGCTATTAACCTTCCTCCAATCAGGTTCTACTTGCGGCTCGCTGCGACATTGAGCCGAGGGCAAATAGCTGCCGGGATATCAAAGCGGGATGTCTTCCTAAGTACTGTTGTTGTCACTTAAGGAGGCTGTTTGGCACAGGAACGTCGCCGGAAAGTCCAACTTTCTACTACCGTGCGCTGGTTTCAAGTGCGCTGGGCTCGACCGATTCGCAAGGTGTGGTTGTAGGGTAGACCCCTTGAAATGAGGGCGTATCTCTTTGGGAGCTGGTCCCCTTTTGAGGGTGTCACGAAGCCCAGCATGGTGCTTCTCAAAATAGGGTTCCCCCTCTTGTGGGGTAAGGTCAGCCACCAGGAAGCCAACCGCTATGATGGGGTCCGCAGTTTTGGAGAGAAACCGTCACACCGAAAGTGCTCATGTTTGGCAGCTCCCTGATTCAGGAAAAACAGCTCATAATCGCAACCCACCATCTGGCAGGCCGGTATCTGCAACACTCTGTTCTAAATACACCCCTTGAGCAATCTGACAAGGTGGAAAAACAGAGGTCCAGCACGTTCCTACCTCTGCGGTAAGGGAAACTCAGCATCAAGCTGATCATTTGGGCCTCCAGGTTGATTCATCCCTTGGGTTTCAGGCGAAGCGATTCAGCTACCTTTCCCCGAAAGATACATCCGGGGGTGTGTTTTGTGGGGACCCTCTTTGAGGTTGGATTGGGAGACCAAAGGCACACCGAAATCCGATCAGACATCCGGTTCCCAGGACAAGTACCGGGCCGCGGTTCCCTCGACTCGACCGAACCCCGGATCAAAGTGGAACCACTGCTTGATTTGATCGGGGGGGGCCTCTTTTAGTGTTGGGGGTCAACAATACGCCCAGGATACGCCCTGAACAAGGCCCTCTTGTGCCCCCCTCCAAGAAACATGCTCTTACCCCCCCCCCAAAAAAAAAACGTGGCTTGGTGCACAAGAAGAATTGGGGGCACCAAGCCATGTCAGCTGGTAGGGCTGGGGACATAAGCCGTGGAACCCCCCAATTGTAGGTACTGTAATTTCATCTCCAGGCCTTACATGTAGAAGCTCAGTGGTTGGTTGATCTCTTGCTGAAACTTCTAGTTCAGACCCGCTCAGGCCCACCCACCCCCATGTTTGCGTCATTAATATTGCGGTTGTCCGGGGCTTGCCCTTAAAACCCACGCACAAATACCCACAAGGAGGTACCCTCCTGCCCACAATTTCACCCACCAGACTGTCCAGTTTAAAAGAACATCGTCCACAGGTATCTTTCCTGCTCTGGCTGTAGCTCAAAAACATGGTACAAAAATTGCACCTTGGTAAATGGAACCAAAGACGAAAACCTGCGGTTTGCCCTGGCTCTTAAATTTTCAGCCACACCCTCAACCCATCACCTTGTAGCCACCAGTCTGAGATCACACCCCGAGCGCCTCGTGGGACTCAATGTGCAGCAGCGCCCGCCTGCGGCGCAGCCTCGGCGGTGTGACCAACGAAAAGCGGACATGGGTTTGTGGAAGTTCGGTGGGTTGGTTTGTGGAAATCGAGGGCACGGACATGGGTAGTGATTGGAGTTGGGGTGCTTTGAGCATCAGTCAGCTCTCGAATTGGAATGTGGCAAAACAGGGAAGATCGTGCCCTATTTAAAAAAAAGAGGGGGAGAGAAAGAGACACGAACTGCTCCCCGCCCTCTCCCAAAAAAAGAAAGTGGCGCGCGGAGTCCTTCGCCAGTCTCTTTGGAGGCTTGGCTAGGAAACAGCCTGCAGGGAAACGGAGCCGCTGGGAGATGGGTTGCACGATATCCAGGCGCATGATCACTCCAAAGTGAATGGCCTCAAGTCTGAATCCCCGTAACCAACACAGAACTGGTACATAGGGTTACTCAGAAGACTGAGGCCCCCAACAAATGCCTGGGTCATCCCAATGTTTGGCCATTGTCAGCCCCAGCGCCTGTGTTAGTTACTTTTCCGAACCTCCAAAAAGCCGAGCTGCTCGCACCAAATCTCCTCCCCCATTCTGCCAGGACAAAGCAGGCCTGGCTCAATGAGGGCACAGGGAAAATTGACATAGGAGTGACAAGTCAAAGCTTCGATGTCAGCAGCAAAGCGTCAGTGTGAGGTATGAATTGTAGGTGTGGGTCATGGCGGCTTCTGAAGGTGTGGATCGAACCCTCGTTCCACGAGCCCCGCGAACACTGCGAACCCCGCCAACCCCGGCACACACCCAAACAACCAACCAAGCAACCAACCAACCAAACAACCAAACAACCAAACAACGGGAACAAAGAAAACCCTGTGAATTCGTGGCTTACTTGCGATATTTAGGGCCCGAGCTTTCTGTACTGCGGACCCGATCCCTTGTTCAATCCAAGGGCCGAAGGGCAAATTCGCGCCTACCCTGCCCCGGCGCGCCTGTCTTGTCTGTGCCTTTGCGCGCCTTAGCCGCAAACAACTCAGTTCCCAACGTTCCTAGCCCCGGCATCCACCCAAACACCTGTCATGGGTCCGCGACAAATCTTGTCGTAGGACACACTGTGATCTGCACGAACAACTCCAGCGCAGCAGTTCATGCACCACGGACGCATCACAGGATGCTGCGGCATCCTTGACTCAGAAGCCAAGCTTTGGGGCGCCCAAAGGGACATTGGCCTCTCCTGACTGGTGAGCGCGCCGCTAGGATTCCGGTCACGTCATCAGAGCACAGCCCGCCACTATCGATCACGTGCTTGCCGGCAATTCAACCAGCAACCGCCTGTTCGGAGACTATACTGCAGACTCGGCACCCCCCCTACCCCCCGATCCTCGCTTTGCGGTTGGCCAATTAAGCGAGAACCCAACCCACAAACGGTCTTGGCAAAAAGACGACGTGCCCCTACCCCAAAGCCCATGGAAGCCCCCCGGGCATTGGGCGGGATCGCTCGGTCATTTGCCGAGGAGCCAAACTGCGCAAGCGTGTAAGGCTCGTTAACAGCTCCTTGCGACAAGAGCAGCAGACACGCGATCCGAGGAAGGTGTAAAGGGAAAGCAACTTGGGTTTGTGACAAGAGGAGCCCTCAAAGCCAAGCGAAAAAATGCGGACCCTCAAACAACACACTGCCAGGCACCCTCTTGGAACAAGCGAGGTTCAGCGACGCTGAAGGGCAACGGGGGGGATTCCCAGACCTCATGGCGGGAACTTCAATCAAAGCCAACCTGTTTCCGATGGGCCCACCCCAAACAGGGGGACGATGTTGGCCCACCCCTGTGTGTTTTATTCCCAGAGTCTGTCGGTTGCCTGGAATCACTGAATCACAAGGAAACCCGCTGCGAAGGGCGGATCCAACAGAATGTCGACCCCAGAATTGTACACCTGTCAGATGCATCCCCCCCCCAAAACAAAAATAAACAAATAAACAAACAATGAAGTAAAAAGCAAAAAAGCAACGGAAAAGAGTGAAGGACTTCCCTCTCCGGAGCGCGCCTTGAAATCAGGGCCAACATCGCCCATGGTCACATTGCCATGGCAACTTTTGACCCAACCCACAAGGGGTCCCGGAACTCGAAGAGCGTCGCAAGCCGGTCAAATGCCCCGAAACACCTCCGGCAACAGGAAACGTCCGTTAAGGTGACGCGTTCCGGGTTGGCAACTGGGCCCACAAACAACCTCCTTGCTATGGAAACTGTGTTGGTCCATGACTTTAAACTCCTACCTTTGGGGACGTTCTCGAAAAGTATCTTGGGTGTTTTGGGAAAAAAATAAAGCATAACCAAGAGAAAAAACAACTTGAGCTACCCGTTCAGCGCACCTCCAAGCAGAAACCGCCACTTTTGGGCGGATATCTTTTCCGGGGCTCTATCTTATTGACCGCAAATTAAGCTTAAGCCCAAACAAAGTTGATTTCACCAACGCGCAAACCTTCAATCCCACCGGACCCCCCTTTTGTGATTCCAAGCTTGAAGAAAACAACAACACGGTTTTGCGGGTTCCCAGGAAAAAGAGTGATTCCGAATTTCATGTCAGCTTTCGCGCCCGCATGGCATTTGATTCTTCTGAATCTTTTCTTTGCGAATCAAAGAACAAGCAGTCGCTTTCCTCCAGCGTCACTTTTCTCTCTTTTGGGGCCCGTCCTCCTGCAGCACATTTGTCTCTAGATCACCGCAGTTCACCTGGGATCTTCAGCGCCGGAATGTTGCAAGGGAACAAGGGAAATCCCCGTAGCTTCGCAAATTACCGTGGGTTTGCACGTGGTTGCCAGATTAAGCCACCAGCTGTATGCCTCAAGATCCAAAACTATCTTTGGAGAATCAAGGCACAATCCGAAATTGGCAACTTCTTTGCTGGCGACACGAGGCAACTCGACATGCATTCATTCTCCCCCAGACTCTTTGGTCAAAAGCAAAATTATGATTGACCAGATCTGACTCGATCCGCAAGAAAATGAAGATAACCGTTTGACCTGTTTTAATCAAGTAGAAGGCAACCCCGCAAATAACAGGGAAAACGGTGCTACTAAAGGGCAACCAAGTTTGACCAGCATCCCAAAAGGAAGAGCCTTGAGGATTGAGGCCCTACCCACTTCAAGGGCATGGTGCTGGATTTGAACGCGAAGGATACCGGTCATGGTTACAGCGCCACCATCAGGGTTGTGCCAACTTGCTTGAACCCGCTTGGAACAAAGCTGCGATGGCCACAGTCGGTTCTGTGCCCCTGACCGCTACAGGGGTTGGGCTTCTTTTTTCGGGTCTGGCCGGATCTAAGTAGAACCCGTCCTGAAAAAGGGGCCCGGGTCCCTCCAACAGCGGTCTGAATCCCCACCAAAAAAAAACACGGGGACACGGGACCCCGATCAAAAGCAACCAGGGGTTTATTCATCCGGCGCAAGCCTCTGTCTTCTCGCCGAAAACCCTCGAGCCGAGCCCGCGACGGGCATGAGGCACCGACTGCAGCCTGGCGACACCCGAGGAAATCGATCCGCCGGACATCCCCGCGTTTTCCAGGAGCAAACGCCTTGCCAAAGTTGCCACATCTTGGACCAACTGGTCACCTAAATGTAGATTCATGACCAAAGCTATTCAGATTTGGAGAAGAAGAATGGTCACGGCCGGAAGGGCAAGGTTTTGCTGGAGTCCATCTTCCCAAGACCTCGTCATCCATCCACTCTGTTTCCCTTTGGCCGACCCAGTAACTCCATTGCGTAACCATCTACCTAGGGTAAGCAGAAGGTGATTCACGTTGATACAGTGATTCCAATCTACCAGGAAGCTATATGCTCCTTGAGTGTATTGGGGCACAGGTGGATTCTGGGCGAATCAAAACTGCCTCTTGACCAGGGACATTGATTTGGGAGCAAGTCGCTTTAGACGGTACTCGCATCATTTTTTGGATGTTTTCAGCACAGGCAAACCGTGACCCCATTTTGGGGCTCTTCATTTGGAGACGAACCCATTTGCTCAGGGTGATTTGCTTGAATCAGGTGATGTTATACCGCACCAGGGTAGGCAAAGAAATGATAAAACAGCCTGACCTCTTCTGGTTCCATTAAAAGAGCAACCAAACGAAGGCTGTAACAAGTCGATTCGCCTTTCAACTTTAACATTCCGACCCAGGCGTCAAGAGCGATGGCTCCAAACTGCACCCATACAGTTGTGCAAACGCTAGTTTGGATCGACAACATCCGCTCGCAACAGTCGGGAGGGATGAAATCCCATATGATCCATCGACAGCCCGCAGCGACCTGAAGATGATGTTATTCCCGTCTTGCTTACAATGGCATGTGAAAGATTGACTGTGGTAAATACATGTAAAAAACTCCATAGTTTGTTGCAGTTTGCTTGGGGCATCTTGATTCAGATGCCACGACTGGCAACTAGTGTGTTATATATATATATATATATTAATGTTCATAGAAACAATATATATATATACACATACATATCTTCATATGTATGTTGCTTGTTTGCTCTTGTTTACAGGCATTTCCCTACGTGCGACATAGCGAGTTTTGGGCTTGGGAAATCGAATACATTCCTGAGCGGTCGAAACGGGTTGTAGATTCGAAACAGTGCCAGAGCCCTTTCAATCATGAACAAGAGGTTGTGCGTGCCCCTTGTTCACGCGCCTTAGTTTCATCCTCTTGAAGCTTGCTGGGGCTTCTTGCGTGAAAGGGTGTGTCTTTTAGTTTGAGGGCACCCTGTTTTCTGGTTTGAAATAGAATCCAAAAGAAAACCCCTTGCGCCTTTTTGCCCAAAAGGGATGTGGCCCACGAGACCTTTTTCGGTGCAGGGTGATCCCAGGAAGTTGCCTGCCATGGGGGTTGATCAATGATCCTGGCCCCCAAATGACTATGGGTAACCTTTACCTATTTTTTGTGAGAAAATGCCGTGTAAAGGACCTTTTGATCAAATTCCGCATGAAAATTAGATCCGGGGGGGTGCGATCACACCACCAACAAAAGAGACGAAGCCTTCAACGCAACCTACCTGCCACAAGCAGAAGCCTGTAGCTGTCTTGAAAGCACAGATCCACGGTTCATTCCTTAAAAACAAAACACTGCCGCGGAGGAATTCATTTTGGGGAAGGGTCACCCAGCCCGGAAATCTGTTGACATCGATTCTCCGGCATTGGTGCCCTGGCTGTGTATTTGTTGTCTTCGGGTCCTCACTGCGGGGCTCGGAACCTCGCCTGAGTCATGCGATCACATGCGAGTCACTCGCGCGGGGAATTGAACCCACGGCTGCGGAGGGGACACACGGCGGCGCGAAAGAGGCGGCTTGGGGAATTGAACTACAGGTCCAGACCTCTGGTGTGTCAACCAAGAAAAGGAGAGAGCGCTCCTGGCAACGAACTCATGAGCAAAACCCATAGACCCGAAGAGAAACATGACATCAACAGATCTATCTGGGCGAATCGCAGTTCCCCAAATTTTGGACCCCTTTGCGGAAACCAATCCGCTCCTGAGTTTTGGCCCTCGATTCTTCGGGGCCTTCAACTTTCCCAACAAATGCTGGGGGAGGGGGGGGAGGGCAAAGGGCCTTTTAAACCCTTCCCCGCTGAAGGGGCAAATAGATGCTGGGGAGAACAATGGAAGAGATCCATGGGATGAAAAGACGAACTGACCGGAAACACTGTGGGTATGAATTGTGATTGGGGAAACCTTGGCGGACATCATTTAGGGTATCAATGTCCAACTACCTTTCTTGAGGACTCTGTACAAGTCTTGGCCATATGATCTCCCATGTTCCGAACAAAACAACTCGGCTCCCTGAAGGCAATCACAAACTTCGAGATCCCCTGGTCAAGATTTGTGGTGGGGTTGCCATCCCCTGACCAAGCTGAACCCGTCCCCAGCCACCCTCGCCCCCTCGAACCTCCGGGCCGAACCGCGGACCGGAGCCGTCGGGCGCCCGGGCCCAGCGCGGTGCGCGCGGCGCCCTCCGGCGCCGCCCAGGCGCTGCTGGTGGCGGTGCTCAGCGCCTCGCGCCGCACCTCGCGGAGGCGGCGAGTCGAAGGCGCCGAACCACGTGGCGGGGGGCGGGGGTGGAGGGGTGGGGGGGAGGTTGGTTTGGGGGGGAGGTTTGGGGGTTAGGGGTGCACTTTTGGAGTTCTTTTCAGAACCCAAAGGTTTGGTGGGGTTCATTGTTCATGTCTTCAAGACGATTCTTTTCAAGTACACAAGTGGAATTCAACTCATCGGAAGCCAAAACAAACGCGGAATCCTTGTTCCCCTCATCTGGTTTCCTTTCAACCACCTTTCCACTTCTAGGGCACCAAAGCAGATGTGCCCACCCTGCCAAAACGACACTCACTTCAAGATCGGCCTGTCCAAAAGCGTGATGGTTAACGGTTAACACCACCTTGCAAGGGACAAAAGGGGCGTGTCTCTTTTGGGGGAGCCATTCTGGTTCTGTGTGAAGGGGTGACCCTCTCAATCCCAACCCCCAAGGTCGTTTAGACCAAAGGGGGGAAGACCTCTGCGCGAAGTGCTCTGTGGAATTTCCATGGAATCGGATTGCGGATTTCTGTGGTTTTCTTTATTACCCTTGAGTAGACCAAAAAAAGATGGACCCATGGGAAAAAGGAGTGGAAAGACCGCTGTACTCTCGAGTACCTTGAGGGATTTCGGTATTCGGTGGACGGCAAGGTCCGACGGCCTCGTGGCCCCCCGCGAAGTAGCGCACGGTGCCCACGGGCAGCGCCTGAAGGCTTTGGAGCGAAGGCTTGGGTTGCAGGACATTCGACAGGAAAACTGCCTATTTACGGTTGGGGCCATTGCCTGTAGATTGTCCAACCGAACCCTAAGGAAGACTTATACATGTAGGATTTACCATGATTGAGCCCAATGAAACCAGGTAGAAAGGTAGAACCACCTAAAGTGGCCAATCGGGGGCTTGGGCGCTCGCGTGGGATTCTATGAGGACAGTTGCACCCATTTGCCGATGAGGGAATTCGACTTCAATCCCCGCGAGCCGCCTGCGAGGAAGTTGGTCTTCCCAGAGCTTGGTCTACTGCTGCACACGGAAAACATGGTGCTGATCGTGTTCCATGCTTAGTCTACCTAACATAGAATGGTTTTAGCGGAGACTCCAGATAGGTGTGAAGAGAAGTGAGGGGGAGCGTACAGCCTCAATACTCAATGATTTCTGGACACATATGCTGCCCACTGTTCCCTACGGCTCCTTGGAAAAATGGGTAGCGTTCCTTTGATCTTCCTTAAAGCAACCCCGATGTCGCAAGAAAATCCAAGTCTCCAAAATGCATCCGACCATTGGAAAAAGGCGCTTCTTCCGACTTTGTGGGGCGGGCTCAACGTCGCAACTTCCCTCCGTTGGTCCAAGTGCGCGGCGCCCGCCGGCAGCGTGCCTGAGGACGGCCTGGGCGTTTCTTTTTGGAGGGGCTTGGCACTTTTGGGGTTCTTAAAGTGGAAACGGGGAAATCCTAATTTTGGGGTCAACTTTTAAACGCACCTCCATTTGGCTTCCCTTTGGCTTCCCTTTGGCTTCCCTTTGCAACGCGATCCCAAAACGGGCAACCAAAAAGACTTGGATCTGCCGCTTTGGTCGTTGGCTATTTCGTGTTCAAAGTCGGCGGGCTAAAGACAGGCTTTAGCTTGGGTGTTGAGTCCCCCCCTTCGGAGGGGTTGGCCTGGCTAGGTGAAAAACCCCAACTGGCTAACCACAACACCAACTTGGGTTGTTTTTCCGGCTGCTTTGCACGTGTTCAAAAAAGAAACCGACAGCGCGCAGCAAAAACTTGGCAGCAGTGAAATTCCTGGGAGAAGTTGGGGGGGTGTCGGTGTGTCTCAAAATAGGGGCACCCCATGGGGTGTTTTTCCGTTCCCTGTAAAGCAGCCGGCAAGAAGGTACCCCCCCCCAAAAAAAAAAACAGAAGACACACACACACACACACTTAAACTCCAGATGGAGGGCGCTAATCTTTCGAGTACAACTGATGAGTCTCGAGTACAACTGATGAGTCTCGAGTACAACTGATAAGTCTCTCATCGTTCGAGTACAACTGGTGAGTCTCGAGTACAGCTGGGGTTCAGCTGGTTTTGGAGAAAAGGGCAAAAAGGGGACCTTTGTTTGGGGTGGGCCCGCCAGCTGCCATGACAATGGCCCAGGCGCAGCCCCGCAGGTACGTTTGGACCCGGACACCGGGGAGCGTCTTCGTTGGCTGGAGACCCCCCGGGCCGGCTCCAGCCCCCTGCTACTTATTGTGGTGACAGGGTATTCTGCCACTCCGCACACACACACACGCCCCCTCAGTGAGGGGCGAGAAGTCTCTTTTTCAGCAGGAAGATCACATGCTCAACTCCGTATCTCTATCGTTTACCAAAATATCCACAGCGGCGGGGAGAACGCGAAACTGCCCGAAGCCGCTCAGAAGACGGGAACGAAAGATCACCACGATGTGCTTGACGGGTGTCGCCAT